GGGGGGGGGATTGTGTTTTATCCTTTTATGTCTGACTTTTTAAAAAAATAACACAAGTTTAGGACTTTCGAGTTCCTGATGTGCCACTTCATGTTTTATAGTGGACTATGGCAGAGGAATCCCCTGGTTGGTTCACTGCTTACTCTTCAGATCACAGTGGCCAACCTAATTGTACTCAAAGGGTTAAGTGTCATTTGAAGACTGTGTTGTGATAAGAATTTGCTGTAAAAGAAAAAAAAATTCAGTTCGGTTAATAAACATTTTAGTTGTTTACATTATTACTTCTGAGTATTTGCCTTTAAAGTGTGATGATGGCCGACCATTACAATCTCAGGTAGATGAGTCAAGTTTTTAAAAAATAAATATATATTTCATATTTGGGGCAATCGCGACAGATGGCCAAACAGCTCACCCACCACGTCATTCACCGGCGCCGTAAATGAAAGCAAGATTTCAGAGCTTTCAAAAATGAAAGCAAACCCAGCATCAGGATACAGTCCTGTAAAAGTCTTTCATGTTTCTACTTTTATCAGCACTGCTGTTTTCTATTTCCTTCACGAAAGGTATGAAAGGCTGCGTGGCAGTAAAGATAAGTACATCCTTTTGATGCTTTAATGGAGCGCTGCTGTGCCACTAGGAGCCGGTACAGCGATGCTTTTGAAGCAACGCTGTGGGGGGAAAAAAAAGTCTTAAAGTTGAACAACGTACCTAATGTTTTATATTTTTGCTACAACACCACAATCAATACAGAACACAGGCACAAGGTGTACAAAGTGTACAAAATTCACAAAGTCCCTAAAAGGCAACTATTCCCCAAACACATTTCTTTCAACATAAAATACGGTTTTCTGCCACATTTTGGTTACTCTGTCAGTTTTAGAAAGAACCTGATTATTATCCTTCTTTTAAAGCCACCTTTGCTTCAGTCTTAACATTTGAGGATTTGCCACCGTATGCTGTTTTTACAGAGCCCTAAACTTAGACATCATTCAACATAGGTGCTTAGGAGAATATTGTCTGATTTGGTTCTGTAACCTGCCAGTTCCCAACTGCAAAGTCCAGGTGTCGCTGAAATTCACTATGTGGA